TGGGGCCGGCCTTGAAACTGCCGCCACGCTCGCGTCGCCCTGGCAACGCCCCGCCCCCGCCCAACGGCCGCCGGGCGGCCAGGGCAACGGGTCCCGCCCCCATGCGCGTGCTCCGCCCACTTCCCCATGTCTCCGCCCTACCTGTTGGGCACCTCCCACAGACGCCGCTGGCGATGACGGCAGCTGGGGGGGTGCGTGGCGAGCAGTGACTGGAGGTGCGGACGGCAGCGTGAGCGGCGGTTTTTGCAGGGGGGGCATATGCACCCTCCTGTGCCCCCTCTGCATTGCCAATGGACCCATGCTCTGAAATCTCTCATGAATCTTCTCTGTCCCCCATGTATTGTGTCCTTGCACTGTCCGCAAACACACCCCAGTCCTCACTGCCAACCTAGGGCTCCATGGCTCTCTGGTGCCCCCACTGCATCCACACCCTGCTGATCCTTCACAGCATGCCCTGCCCTCCCATGAGCCTCACTGCTGCCCTGGGCACACTCACCTTGACTAATCCTCCTCCAACCACATCACGTCCTTCCTTTGGGCCGCCAGGCCCTCACTGCCAGAGACCACTGCCCCAGTGATCTTCATAGCTTCGTAGTAGCTAGGGTCAGGAGGGACCTGATCAGATCATCTAGCCTGCCCCCCTGCCACAGGCAGGAATGAATGCTGGGTTCACAAGACCCCAGACAGGTGATCATCCAACCTCTTCTTGAATTTGCCCAAGGTAGGGGTGAGGACCACTTCCCTGGGAAGTTGGTTGCAGATTCTGGCCAACCTAACTGTAAAATATTGCCTCTTGATCTCTAACCTACACCTATTCTCCATCAGTTTATTACCATTGTTCCTCGTTACCCCAGGTGGTGCTGGGGAGAAAAGGGCTCTACCTATTTGCTGTTGATCTCCCCTGATGAGTTTGTAGGCAGCCACCAGGTTCCCCCTCAGCCTCCTCTTGCTGAGGCTGAACAGGTTCAAGTCCCTCAGTCTCTCCTCACAGGGCCTGTCCTGCTGCCCTCTCACCAGGCGGGTGGCCCTCCTCTGAACTCTCTCCAGGCTGGCCACATCCCTTTTGAAGTGCGGTGCCGAGTACTGGATGCAGTACTCCAGCTGCGGCCTGACCAAAGTTGCATGGGGGGGAGTATCACCTCTCTGGACTGGCTTGAGATGCATCTTTGGATATATGACAAGGTATGACTGGCCTTGCTGGCTGCAGTCTGGCATTGGCAGCTCACGTTCATCTTGGAGCCAATAACGACTCCAGGATCCCTTTCCGCTTCTGTGCCTTCAAGAGGGGAACTCCCCAGCCTGTATGTATGCTGTGGATTCCTTCTCCCAAGGTACAGCACCCTGCATTTGTCTGCGCTGAACCCCATCCTAGTCTCATCTGCCCACTTTTGTAGTCTGTCTAAATATGTTTCCACCCTCTCTCTCCCTTCAAGTGTGCTCACCTTGCCCCACGTCTTAGTGTCATCAGCAAACTTGGACAATGTTCTTTCCACCCCCTCATCCAAGTCACTGATGAAGATGTTAAACAGTGTGGGCCCAAGGGCTGAGCCCTGGGGGATCACACTGCCCCTCCACTCTTCATGGCTCATCTCCATGATTAAGTCCCTCTTCTGCCCCTGCACGTCCCCCCACACCCCTCACGTTTTCTGAGGGTGGAAAAGAAAACAGGTGTTTGATCTAGTACTTGGGCAGCCTCCCTATGTAGCAAACCCATTTAGGGTTGCTGGCCAGAAAACACTGGGACCACAGGCCTGAGTGCCACAGATGCTGCTGGTCTGTTGGAAAACCAGCTGTTACGCCTTCTGGAGGATGGAGGAGGGCCTGGGAAGGGATGATATTTCCATGGGTCTCAGAGGAGTGGGAATTCCTGCTGTTTTGCTGGATGTTGGATGGTTGTCTAGGACCATGAGTCATCCTTGGGCCACATGCCAAATGTTGGGCAATACTCATAGAATCATAGAAAATGAGGGTTGGGAGGGACCTCAGGAGGTCACCTCGTCCAACCCCCTGCTCAAAGCTGGGCCACCCCAACTAGATCATCCCCACCAAAGCTTTGTCTAGCCGGGTCTTACAAACCTGCAAGGATGGAGCTTCCACCATGTCTCTGGGTAACCTGTTCCAGTGCTTCACCACCCTCCTGGTGAGAGAGATTTTTCTTATATCTAACCTAAACTTCCCTTACTGAAACTTGAAACCACTGCTTCTTGTTCTGTCACCTGGCACCACTGAGAACAGTCCAGCTCCATCCTCTTTCAAATCCACCTTCAGGTAGTTGAAAGCTCCTATTAAATCCCCTCTCAGTCTTCTCTTCTCCAGACTAAAGAAGCCTAGTTTCCTTCACCTCTCCTCATAAATCTTTTGCCCCAGCCCTCTCACCACTTTTGTTGCCCTCTGCTGGACTCTCTGCAATTTGTCCACATCCCTTCTTTAGTGGGGGCCCCAAGACTGAACACAGTACCCCAAATGTGGCCTCACCAGTTCTGAATCGAGGGGAATAATCACTTCCCTTGACATACTGGCAACACTCCTACCAATGCAGCCCAGTATGCCATTAGCCTTCCTCACAATGAGGGCACACTGTTGGCTCATATTTAGCTTATTGTTCACTGTAATACTCAGGTCTTTTTTTTGCAGAGCTGCTGCTTAGCCTGTCAGTCCCCAGTCTGCACAGGATTGTTATGTCCTAAGTACAGGACTTTGCTCTTTCCCTTATTGAACTGTATGAGATTTAGTTTGGTCCAGTCCTCCAATTTACCTAAGTCTCTCCAAATCCTAGGCCTACCCTCCAGAATATCTACTACTCCACCCATACTGTAGCCAAGGGCCAGAAGAAGAACATCTGACAAGTCACCTGAGGCACCCTTAGTCTTGCATATCTGCTTTGCTTGCTTGACTATCCCCCCAGATCATGCACCCCCAACTCGAGGGAGAGGGGAGCCCAGAAGCTCCTTTGCTGTGGCATAGACACTTCCTGGCTGACGAAGAAGAGTGTTTATGGCAAGGCATAGGCAACACACAGGGGGTGCATGTGCACTCCCTGAGAGCGCTGGTGCCTCCCTTGAGAGTGAGTGCTCTTGCCTTAGGTGACAGGCAGGGGGGCAGGTGGAGCGCTGGTGCCCCCTGCAGAAATGCCACTGGTACTTCCGGCCTCAGTGTCCAGCCTCACGGGGACCCCCTCCCTGCCGCTGTTACTGCCGTGGCTGCTTGCAGATGGTCCCCGCTCAGCCCTCCCTCACCACCGATGTCTGTGTCATTGCCTGTGGGCAGTTGCCGTGCGTCCCCAGCCTCAGGAGGCACGCATTGCCTATGTGGCAGAGGATGGAGAAACCTGCCCCAGGAGGGCCAATGCCACTAAGTCTTGCAGCACCTCCCTTCCCCTCTTTTCACCCAGCAACAGGCTCAATGGTAGGTGGCACCTGGACACACATTCTGTCTCTGCTGGGGAATCTATTCCCTCTGTCATAACATCTGCAGCAGTGGCACTGAAAACATCTGCTTTGAGGAAGAGCCACAGCACAAAAGTAGCCTGGTTGATACACCTGCGCCTCTGAAAATCTGTTTCCTGTCATTGTCCCTGGTAAGAAATCTATGAAATTTTCTCAAACAATGACTCATTTAAAAACCCCACACTCATAATATTAAGGAGACACCAAACTAAGAGACAGCCCCTTTAACATGCACCGATTCTCATTAATTTGTGTGACTGAGAAATTGCGCATCCTCCAAGGACTCTCCATCTCTAACAAAGAAACCTGCTACTCCCCATAATTTAACTTGCATTACAATGTCAAAGCTTTACTCTTGACTTGCCCCCAAACACACAACAGATTTGCCATTTTGTCAGGGCACATATGTCAAAACATACTCGCTGGGGTTGAAGTTAAAGTTTTGCATTACAGCC